AGGTCTTAAAAAACACCAAATAAGACACTAACACACCAAAACACTTTTACTTTTACACTAGACGCGCGTTTCGCTAACCATGTTAGCATCATCAGCAGATGATTAAGACTAAGTAAAAAGTACAATTTGAGCGTTAGCATATACTCGCTCAGTGGGTGGGTACCGAGTGGGCCTGGCCAGATCTAGCCAACCGAGTCAGAGCCCAACAAGCGTAACAGTTAGATTTCCGCTACTAGAGCAGTAGGAATAAAGAACTTGAAGGAATTGGACCGTTATCTCTGTTCATACTATCTTTACATTTATTAATTCTGATGCTGCTTGTTTAATAAAACTTACCTTTATTTTTTTCCTAGAATCCGGAAAACAATTAATATATAGGGTGTTCCATTAGAAAAAACACTGTTCTGTGTAACTTTTTTGGGGGACACCCTGTAAAACTCTCTATATTTTTAAAAAGTGCTCTGAATTAATCTACATATGCTGCCAAAATTTAATTTCGATATAAACTACCGTTCTCCTTGGAGCTTCCGCGGCTTATGAGAGGCGCCACCCTGTATATGAAGTATGAGTTAATTATGAGCCTCGTGTCGTACTTGAATATTAAGGAGCGATTTCTGGAAATTAGCACCACAAGAGGGTAAAATGAGGCTAAAAGTTGTAAGCATAAAAAACTTAAAATCTGTCCCATAGAAGTATGAAATTTTACATAGAAGTCTCTTAAGCGGCGTAATTGAATACTAAGAAGTAGTTTTCAGCAATTTAACGCCTGAGGGGAAAGGTATCGCCCTTTTATTTTAAAAACTCCCCTAGGAGTATGGAATTTTGCATAAATGTTCCTTTTAAGTGATGAAAGAGAGTATTCAAGTGATTTTTGGAAATTTGTCTCTAAATTATGTGTGTAAGTTTGTACCAAAATTTGTTAAAACAGTTCTAGAACTATGAAATATTCCACAGAAGTCCTTTTACAGAGTACTAAAGAAATCCATTTTTGGAAGATCATCTCTTAAGAGGGTTAGGAGTGAAAATTTGTACAATTTTTTTAAATCGGAGTAGTAATTTTATACAATAAAATTTTGCTCAGAAATTTGCTCTAAAAGTCAGCATCATCACTAAAAAATTATTGTAAGTAGAAAAATTGTTGTGTAGTCTGTTGGTGATCAATATGTTGGTGTCTGTTGGTGATCAATAGTCTGTTGGTGATCAATATGGCATATGACTCTCTGTCGAGGGCTTGATGGATAAGGGTGTTTCCATCGGTGTGGGCCCAATCTCTTATAGTACGGAGTCATGACTTCTTTTTCCTCCCTGAGTTGCGTTTTCCATCGATTTTTCCTTCTATTTCAGCTGTATTTCTTCATATTCTAAGTGCCGCATTATGTGTCCAAGGTAGGAAGTCTTTTTGATTTTAATTGTGCCTGTTAAGGAGGGTCCACATTTAGTAACATGTTATATAACATTGCTATTTAACAAGCTACATGTAACATGTTAAAAAACCGGGAGCCGTCCAGATTATAGTTTTCGTAGTCATGAATCGTTTTGGCGAGAAAGAGGTTCAGCTCGCAGCAGTGGCGTGCGTAATTATTTTTGAACTAAGGGAAAGAAAGTCGAGAAAAAAAGCGGGTTTGAGTCCGCCATAGCCTACCAGCAAGATCTAAATACAGTTGAACTCAATTAGCTTATCTTTTCAATACTTGCCTCGGCTGTTTCTTGTGGTGTGCTTCTGTCTTTTAAAAACATTAATAATTTACAGTACGTCTGCTGGATCTGTGTCTATGAAAGGAATGCGGACAACAAACATTTAAATAAACAGCAATATATTCTATACGTCGATTTGACGAGTGCGTTACCGCAAATCGCTCCGCCCACTCATTTTATTGGCTACTTGCAAATTTGTCGAATTTTTATTGATGGGACGCGTCGTCTATTTTTTACGAAAAACATCGAGAGAATATCGTTTCCCCTCTCACGGATACCCCGTAGCTACAGAACGGACAGACGTACTGTAAAAACAAAAGCAAACCATTTTGAATTATCCACTTCATCTAAACCATGCAGTACCTGATTTGCAATTCTTTTGTTCCCGCTGGAACTGGCCTATTAGATTACGCATTTTTTTCTCAACTTTTTCTGTTTCCAAATACATACTATGAAATGAAAATCGCTGTCATTTTATATGGAAAATTATATGGGGAATGTCATCGATCGTCATGTCCAAGCCAACTGGACGGGAGGCCGACGGGACGCAGTTTTTTTTTCGATCATACGGTATTATTAACCAGTAAATAAACAAACTAATATCAGCTCACCACACTAAGATTCTGTCGCGCACGTCCCTGAAAATATGAGCGGCTAAACTAGAAATTTAGCAAGTGTGGACGCGCTGTTTCATGTTACAATAGCAATGTTGCACAACATCTTTTGATCTTTACCGAGTACAAATGGATAACATTTAGCAAGTTATATAGCATCGAAATTTGCTAAATATAATTAAAAAATATGTAACATGTTATATAACTTTGCTATATAGCAGTGTTATATAGCAAGTGTGGACCGTCCTTTAGGTGTGCACGAGTTTTTATTTTGTTTAAAACTTCACAATTTGTTGTTCTGGAGGTCCAACTTACCCTCAACATTCGTCGGTACATTCACATTTCAAAAGCATTAAGTCGTTTGACGTCTCCCTGTCTTAGCATCCATGTTTCGCATCCATATTGAAGCAGGGGCAATATATAGCATTTTAATGTTATTAGCCTTGTTATTTCGTTGCGATTGCTTGGTATAGCTATTTTGGGCTGGCACAAAAACTTCCGCATGTTGAGGAAACCAGCCCCAGCTATTCCAATCTTTCTACTGATTTCCTTAGAGTGGTCTAGCTGGCTGTATAATTCCCTGTCCAAGTAAATATATCTCTGCGTGATTTCCAGTTGGAAGCTGTTTATCATTATGTCGGTGTCTTCATTGTCTTGCGGATATCTGTAGAAAACCATAGCTATTGTCTTGACGGTGTTATTCTCTAGACTCATTTTGATGCTTTCTTCTGTCACTTTGTCCATTAGGGTTTGCAGCTGGTCTTCGGATTCTGCTAATACCACGGTATCGTCTGCGTATCTTATATTGTTTATAATTTTTCCATTTATTTCAACTCCTTCTAGATAATTTTGAACAGATTTTCGGATTTTATATTCGGCGTATACGTTAAACAATAATGGTGACAATATGCATCCCTTTCTAACACCTCTTTGTATGTCTACGTATCTTGTATTGCCTTTTTCTGTTCTGACACAATCTTTGTGATTCCTTACAATGATACCGTATGATAAAAAAAAACGGTGTTAGCGATGGCTATGAAATGAAGATCGCTGTCATTTTATATGTAAATTTATAGATGGGAAATGTCATTGATATTCATTTCATGTTCATTGATGACGCCGTTATTTTTTCGATCATACGGTATCTCTCATCCAAGCCCACCTCAGTGAGAACTTTTCAGCACGAAGAATTTAATACATTTTTGGTGCTGTATTTGATCGAAGGTTTTTTTTGTAGTCAACGTAGCATACGTATGTACAGCTTTCTTTCGACTTCCATATACCTCTCTGTGATTAGCGTTAAACTCAGGATGGCTTCTCTTGTTCCTATTCCCCTTCTAAAACCGTACTGTGATCTGGTAAGGAAATCATCACATTTGCTGCATACTCTGTTGAATATTATTCGTACAAAGATTTTCGATGGGAATCGAAATTTTTCGCCCAGTGCTTTTTTTGTTTCTCGGATTGCTTTGACGACTTCATCTTTCAATATGGGTATATGGTCTCCTTTCTCTATTTTTGGATATTCCTGTTTTTTTTCTCGTATCTCCGAACAATTCTTTCAAATAGCAGATAACCTGTTGTTTGCTGAAGTCCAGTTCTATCACGTTATTTTCGTTTGCGATTGCTGATTGGGTTGCCAAAGGCAAGTGAATTTCCAAAGGCCGGTGAATAGGTCTTCCAAACATTACAACGGAATTTACTTAAAACTTAATGACATGCTGGACATGCTTGAGTAAACAACGTACAGGGGAGTACAGGGGAGACATGTGAGAACAGATACGTGATTAGGCTAACTCTTTGTTAATTTATTAAATTTAAAGTAATTTGACATAAAATTCGAAATGGCTGTTTTTCATAAAAAATAAGTTCCAATCATAAAAGAAAATTATTTTTGTAAGTTTCAATCATAAAAGGAATGTATGAAACATTCAAATTTTATGCGGACGAAGTCGCGGGGAAAAGCTAGTTTATTATATATACATATACCGTATGATCGAGAAAAAACGGCGTCAACGATGGCTATGAAATGAAGATCGCTGTCATTTTATATGTAAATTTATATGGGAAATGTCATCGATCGTCATTTCCCAGCCACTTGGACGCCATTTTTTTTCGATCATACGGTATTTATATTTATATTCCTTCTCATATTTTCATAGAAATATTATATTATTAATTATTTTGTTAAATTCTTATTCAATAAGGAGCTGTACGGGAGTAAACTAAATTATTTTTTACTTTAGTGTAAAATCTAGTCCTCTACTTACGCGCTGACGGATTAGTAGACCAGCAATCTCTTCGAAAGAGTGTGTGCAAAGAAAACCAGAGGGAAACCCGCTATTGAGAGGCTAACTAGGTACTAGGTAGGCAAACATTTGAATTTTTTTCTTTTTGTCTTTTTGTTTTTTTTTTTCTTTTTGTTTCCACAGCTACTTTTTTTGTAAGATCTTTAACCTATTTACACTCTAATCGGCGTTTTAAACTTATTTTAATTGCCAAAACATGTTTATGATTCATAAATAAAAATATAATTTTTATATTTTCAAGTATGGCCTAATTACTATTATGTAAATTGTATATTAAACATATTTTTAAATTTTTATCTTTATATAATGATTACAAGATTAAACAATGTTGTTAAGCAATTTCTTATACTTAAATGTATACTAAAAAATATAATTTACTTACCTTATAACCAAGATATGCTAGTACTAATGCTTCTGTTAAACTTATTACTGCTAAGATAACTTGAACAACCCATAATTCAAGGGGGCGGTTCACCCACAGAATGGCATCCCAATTTATTATTGGGTTTTCTTGAAACTTTTCTTCGGTCAAGTTGGCGGATAAAATATATTCTGTCTTGTTGCCCGGAACACAGCCATAGCTAAATAAAAAGTAAACAAATGTTTAGAAAGTAATTATATTTTTAAACAATGAAAATTTAAAATGACGATTATTATAGTTAATTAGAATAAAGTTAAGTTATAGACATAAAAAAATATTAGTCAACGCGTGATCCTATCCAAAATAAAATATATTTCTGTTATTATTTGCGGAGGTACTACTTATTTAAGTTGTCATGCTTTTTATTTGTCATTCTAACCAGCATGACAACCATTGAATTATGCCCATTTAGTCAATTAGTCAACCCAGCCCATTCCTTTGTATTTACAATACTGCCCATTCCTTTGTATTTACAAAGGAATGGGCAGGTGGTGTATTACTGAATGGCTACAGACTACAGAATAATATTAAACCTACGTTTTGCTGATGACAAAGTATTGGTATTCGCAAACCAGCTAGAACTGGACACAACTATAACAAGATGGGAAACTACCAGTAGACAGTTCGGTCTTCGCATCAATTACAAAAAAACTAAAGTGATGATCGTTGATTGAAAACAACCGTCCAGATACCACAAACATAAACCGCTACCAAGTTGTGCAACCATTTATAATTTAGGTGCATTTATATCTAATACAGATAGTTGCGAAGTGGAAATACGCCGCAGAATTTAACTCGCCCGTAACGCTATGACGCAGCGCATCAAAGTTGGGTCGAACAGTCATATAACAAAATCGACAAAAATGAACCTGATAAATAGTCTTGTCTTTCCGGTTATGCTTTTTGCTTCGGAGACATGGACATTGTTAGCAGCCGACAGACGACGGATTGACGCCTTCGAGATGTAGTGCTTGAGGAAGATGTTGCGAATACCATGAACAGCACATTGCACCAACGTGTCGGTCCTTAACGAAATCCAATTACCACAAAGACAACCAATTACCAGGAAGCATTATCTATAAACGTATTTATCTATACTATATCTATAAACGTAACCTTCTTTGGCCATGTTAACAGGAGCGTGCACTTGGAGAGGTTTGTAGTACAAGGAAGACCTGCAGGATCCCGTCGCCGAGGCAAATCACCAACCAGGTGGGTGGACATGGTTGAAAGACTTCTGAATACCAACCTGGAGGGAACCATTCGGAAGACAGAAAACAGGGAAAATTGTAGACGAACGGTGCGTATGGCCGTAAGGTCCTTAGCGCCAGAACCGGAACCACTACACGTAGTACGTGACGTACGGAAATAGACGACTTAAATATCAGATACATACAAATTAAAAAAAAGTAAATTCAAAGTTATAGATCAAAGTATGAAAACAAGCAATTAAGTGATGTCAAATTTAAAGATTAATAGCTTAAATCGATACCAACTGTTACTTCGGTTGTATCAAAACTTCTGGACAAGATGGCATTCGGAATATGGGAATATTCTTTAACAAATAGCCATATAGTAATCAGCCATGCATGATATCAACAAATAGCTAACTAAATGAGGTCCACCAAGCGCGGGATACCGATAGGGGATATGTGATATACTCTGACAGCTTGGGCGCTTTAAGAAGCATCACCATCCAATTAGTGAGATCGAAAATTATGATGGAAGAAGCAGACAGGGGGCCAAGCAGCAAGAGACGTGGCAACACCATTGGCGTAACTACAGGGGTGCCCGGGGGTGCCCCCCCCCAGTTACTGCTGGACACCCCCCAGAGAAATCCTGAATTATGACTCTTGGCTACGTATTAATTTTTATTTGCTTGTGATGCAGTAAAAATGATGTTTTCTAGTTTTGTTTAGTTAATATTATTTTGTTGTGTTCAAAAAAATGTGTTAATTTTTATTTTTGTAGAAAATTTGTAGGTATTTAAGTAATCTACGGGAACACGGTTTGATAATCAAGTCTATGAAATTTATTGATAGAGAAATTCATGAAAACGTTTTCAATTCAAAAAAATGTGTTTTTTTAAATTATTTTTCATTTTTCAAAAAAACAAAAGCCCTATGCCCCCCCTGAGCTCCCCCAGGAACCCCCCAGGCACATCCCAGGAAAAATTGTTAGTTACACTAATGGGCAACACCATGAGAACTGCGCTACAGCTCGAAGACTGTGGCCAGTGGTGGACAGCAAAAAGACAAAATAACTACTAGAGCACAAAAAAAAACTAGGACGCTTAATTGTAGGTGCTATCACTGGAAACTGCCCCACGGGGGTAAACCTGGTGAAAGGGAAGTTTTCCAAAGGCGACTACTGCAGAGAATGCGAAGAGGAAGAAGAAACCATAGAGCACCTGCAGTATGTGTCCGGCACTGGAATAAAGACGCTTTAAAACTTTAGTGCAAGGTTTTTTGGAGCGACTAGGGGAAGCAGCAGAAACCAACATCAGCGGCATCTAGGCCCAACTAACAATTTCTGTTTTAAAAATGTCGTAAGAACGTTTACAGAACTATTTTTATAAAACAACAGTATTGCGATAAACATTTCGACAACGTTTATACAATGCTTATAAACCCAAAAAGGGCGCACTTTTGTGCAGCAATTTAGTTCTTTAATTTGTTTTATTATAGTTTCCATAGCTTTTACCGGACAATTACATAAACATTTACAAAACTATTATAAAATATTATTTGGAACAATTACAAAACACTTTTATTGAAAACAGTTACAGAGGTAAATAGTTATCGAGCTAGAATAAAACACTTTTATAAAAGTTGTTTTGTTATACCAGCGGTTCCGATTTTACTTTGACGAACACTATGAAAGGATGCTTTTGTTGTTCCCACACAGCATAATTTATTTTTTAATCATCGTTCTGAGAACAAAAAAGCTAAATATCGCGTCTTCTGTCACAATTTTAAAAACATAATATATAGTTATGTCTGCATGTACACCAGCCATATTGCATTTAGCTCTGACCATAAATAGCCAATCTTAGGTAAGAAATTCGGTATGCCATCTGAGGATTGATATTTTACTGCGAGGAAATTTTTTTTGTATAATGTATGGTATTTAAATAGCAAAATTTTCAAGCGCCTTAAATATGTTATCTCTTTTTGAGTTTTAAGAGAAAGAATCTAAAATACTATTTCGAGTTTTTCTTTCATTTGGCCTGTACTGTAATAAAATACCCTAAAGGATCCATCCTAGACTACTATATAAATACTTAGACTAGAGAGTTGTGGCGTTTTATTGTGGGAAAATGATTTTTTGTAATGCGTTTAAAAATGGCCGTTGGAAGGTGAAGTGGAAACAACGAAAACAATGGCTTCCATGTTATAAAATACTTTTATCACCTTCGGTGTTCGTATAAAATGTTTTTGATCTTTAAGAAATTTTTATAAAATATTTAAATTATAAGCAATGTTTTAGTTAAACAGAGGCGTATTTCAGAAAAAAAAATACCATATTATATACGTGTAGATAAAAGAGCTTATGTAATATTCGCACTAACTCTATGCATTTGTCAAATTTCGAGTTGAAGTCTTGGCCTTACCGATACTGATAAGATACAAAATGAAGGAATCTGTCATGACATACAGCGTGCCGCCACTTTCAAAATAATATTTCACAAACTTTTTTATTGGGCTTTTGCACTAACATCGTTAAACTTTTTTTTTAATGCTTGACATGTGTCAATTTTCATGTTGCAATATTGGCAGTACTAATAATGATAACGTACTCACAAAATGAAATAAAAATTTCCTATGTTCCTATGGTAATGCTTGTTTTTGTTCTAAATGCCAATAAGTTTTTGATGTAATATCAATGTTTGTTTTTCGTAATTAAAAGTCAACCAAACCAAATTTCGCATATATTTTTGAAATCGCTAATAATTACATATAAAAATGCGTGCATTTTCTTTACCTTTTAACGTACGAATAAAAAATCGCACAGTTTTCGGTGTGATTTGTTTACAGTAGGCACATAATATACACTGTGTCCGTAAAGTAACGGATAGATAAAAAAAAAGATATCACGTGGTACTTCAATTTTTTAAATGGAAAGCCCTGTATATTTTGATGAATATCGATAGAGCTCATTGAGACGAATTCAATGATATAAGGGTTGATAGATCTATTTTGAATGGTTGCTAAGAAACAAATCTTGATGGTTGCTAAGAAAAAAACAAAACGTCAGATTGAAAATCTAATAACATCAACTTGTAGAGCAGGAAAAGGAGCAATGGGAATGTGAAATTTGCATTGTCGCATATCTTTTCAAATAAAATGAGAAGAAAATAAGATTGAAATCGGGAAAATTCGGTGTTACCTAAATATCTTCGGAATTTTAAAAATTTTAAACCATCATATTGCAGGCTTCAGCAAGGCGCAACTTTTCTCTAATTTAATCATCTTTGTAACTCTTCTGGTTTATGAGACACTGTGCATTCTTATATGGGAATTATATTATTATTTATTATTCTTATATCCTTATTCTTATATTATTCACCGTGTATGTACGTAATTTACTGCATCTTAATATCCTGTGTTTTTGTCTATTTTACATACACATAGTGGTCAAGGGTAAAATAAATTTACCTAACTCCGGCTCTCATATCTCTCAATAGGTGTTTGCTTTCGTTTTCATACGTCCGCGTCCCTCCAGGTGGCGCATAAGCCCAGGAGTAAATTAGTCGCCCATATGACGCATATTCAAATTAATTGTTTTATTTAAAACACTTATAAAACAAAACGGTTAGTATCTATGTTGATTAATTGCTCTATTTCCAAGTTATTTATTTCTTCTTCGAGATCTCTTTTCTGAACCTCGTTAATAAAAGCATTATTTTCAGTGGAACTACTTCGTTCATCAGCAATTGAAGAGAAAACGTTTTGTTCACTTGAGTCTTCTTCCTTTACAGAGAGATCAACTGTTTCACGAACTTCGGTAGCTAGGATATTCTGGTAACACTTTTTTGCCCTTCTGTAAAACGCACCACATCTTTTATGTTTTTTATTATTTTTAATTATTTGAGATTTTGACATGATAAAGCTATAGTACATTATAACAAGATTAAAGTAGAAAGTAATGGCTTGCAAA